AGGGGCTACATGGTAGAAGGAGAGAACTACCTCTCACAAGTCGTCCTTTCACTTCCACACCTGTGCCATGACTTGAGCGTGTGCGCGTGCGCACACAGACAGACAGACACACACACACAATAAATGTGATAAAAATTTCCTCATAAATACATTTAATTACTTCCTTTTAATTCTTCTATAATAAAGGAAGCAAGTCCCAAATGTCAGTATAGAACTACAGATATGTTCTTGGAATAAAGAATATTCACACAGAGATGAAGTAGTGTATCAGTTCATTCCCATACTAGCTGGTAATATTTTTTGACCTCTCTGTTTTCAGTCTTTAAAAATCAAAGACAACGAGAGCCAGTGAGATAATTCAGTGGGTGAAGGTACTTGCTAACAAGCCCAAAAGCCTGAGTTCAATCCCAGGGACCCATATGTTGGGAGAAGAGAACCTATTCTCATAAATTGTCCTCTGAGCGTCCCATTTATGCCCCTATATACAAGTAAATAAATTAATTTTAACTATTTTTAAGCAATGAGAACTTTGCTGTATACAAATATGAAGATTTGGTAACACACGTCTTGAATCCCAGCACTCAGGCCACAGAGGCAGGTAGATCTCTGACTTCGAGGCCAGCCTTGTCTACAGAGCAAGACACCCAGGGCAACACAGAGAAACCCTGTCTTGAGAAACCAAAAACAAAATGAATAATATCCAGATTATAAAAACAACATTATCTTTGATGAAACGTGATAATACATTCTCATGATTTTCTAGATTATCTTTAATGAAACATGATTGAATATTGCCATTCTCATAGTTTTCTAGATTATCTTTGAGGAAACATGATTGGATATTACCATTCTCATAGTTTTCTAGTTTTCTTTCAATAAAAATTGACTGAATCCATTTGCTAGGAGTTGATTTTCTACATTTGCTAGCATTTCTGCATCTTTTACTGAAACTATAAAATAATTAAAATTGTTTCTTTGCCCAAAAATCACATTAGAGACTACTACTGAAATTTTCTTTTTCATTATTGTTGCCCTTGTTAGAAAGGATCATACTAGGTGACTCTGGCTGCCTGAAATTCACTCTGTAAACCAGGCTAGCCTTGAACTCACAGACATCTGCTTGCCTCCTAGTGCTGATACGCCACCACACCTAATTGGTCTGATTTTGTTTGTTGCTGCATTCTTTTAAGAATCACATGCTTGAGTATTGCATGCCTGCACATTTGTATATGCAGAGTCTGCATGCCTGCAGTTGCAGAGGCCAGACAAGCCCATCAAATCCCCTGTAGCTGAAATAACAGAAGGTTGTGAGCAGTCCTTTGTAAGAGTAACAAGAGTTCTTAACTTGTGAGCCATTAATCCAACCCCGTGAAATGATATTTTTATTTTATTTTATTTTAGGCTTTGTCTAAAATAAAAGAATGTATGTAGCAATGTAGTCAGCCCTGTTATCAGACTGAAGTTACTTAGAAATAAACCAAAATTCAAGAAGAAGAAAGGTCGATTTCCTTTATGTCATATTTGATATAGAGAGGATTAGGTAAGAAAGACATTATTAAGACTTATTTCAGGATGAAAAACCTGAACTGAGATTTTTTAACAAGAAGTTGAAAACCATTGACCTCTCTAGTCTAGCAAATCCAGAGAGAGAGAAAGAGAGAGAGAGAGAGAGAGAGAGAGAGAGAGAGAAACCACAAACAGACTTAATTCGGTTACAGGGAATCCTTCAAGGAGAGAGAAAGAAGTGTTTGACGGCTTGTAGGTAGTTGTGTGTACATTGCTCAAGGTACCCAAAGACTAAGAGGACTGTATAAAACATCAGTAAGAACTGAGGACGAGAAGCCTTACTCCTAAAGGATTTGCCACATCAAATTAATTCGCTGGCCCCTATAGATAATGACAGTTCTGACGGTTCTAAAGAAATTTGGAAATCAAAGACTTCTGTACTGAAGGTCTTGAAGAAGCAGAAATAAGCTAGGTTTACAATCGTCTTTTCCTCTCTTGTCACATCAGCCCACGTCTGGGATAGCAGGGAAGAAAGTAAGAAATAGACATCAAGATTTAGGCTCCTGGTTTCACATACCAGTAAAGGAGCATAAAAACCTTGCTTAAATGTTTTTATTTTAACTATGAAATTCTCCTCAAAATTCCAAAAACCAGTACTTGCCTAATTTCAGAGAAGCTGCTGAATCATTTAATATCTCCATAAACCTATTATGAACCAAAGTTTCACGTAGTATGAAATGGAAGGGTGGGAGTCACTGGCAACCGGGAGTAAATCCAGTTCCTTACAATAAAATAGCACTGGGGTTGAGAAAGCTCTGACGGCTATAATGGGCTAGAATGACCTTAATGTGCTTCCAGGAGAAGCCAACTCAAGTGTTTAGATGTCATAACCATTAGTAACTTAGGCTGAATGAGATGATTATATCTACAATAACGCATGACACTAGCTCTTTTTCTCCAGGGGCTTCAACGTGCTAGCAAGAAAAACAAATGAGCAAATTTCATTTAGATTTAATACCTCTAAGGATGAAATTTCACAATAGGTTCCTTCACCTACACTTTGATAAACACATATTTTAAGACTCTCTCCAAAATTATTTGCTTAGGAAGCAGTCTCTCACCTGTAGGATAAACTGAGGAATACAAATGTAAAATAAATTTCCCATCCGAATTTTTAGAAGAGAAACTCGGTGCCTCTCACCATTGTCAAGGTGCTCCAGGCAGGGCTTGTGGTCACCTCTTCATGCTCCGCTGCGTGCCACACAGCAGTTAGCTGCTTTTCATCCGGTTATGGCAAAGTTCCTGTTTACTGTCAACCTAGAGTTTGTAGTTTACATAAAATAAATGGTTTAAGGGGTTAGACATCTGGCTCCACAGTTAACAGCACTTACTGCTCTTGCAAAGTTCCTAAATTTGATTCCTAGTGTCCATGTTGTGTGGCCGGTCCCAGGGGAAGCTGACACTTCTGGCCTCCATAGGCACCTGTACTCGTATGTGTTCACGCACACGCACACACATACACACTTAAAATTAAATCTTAAAAAAATAAATGACTAGAGATTTTTTTTTATGAAGTCACAATAATTCGGAACATTCATTGCCTTTGTTTTAATGGTTTTTTTTTTTATTTTAACCATGAAAGAAAATTAGAAAATCTGCCAAATATTCTACCTTTTCGTGTTAGGTGGGGCCAGTATGCAGTCAGGAGGCAAGTCCTGTGAACCCTGTCCAAATAGCTACGTGAGCAAATAATGAGATAAACAAGCCATTCCTGGAGACAGAGGTGGAGCTGGGATTTGAATGAATCAGGTCGCCCCACAGAGTGGGTGTCTCCTTCCTAAGTTGCTCCCCAGGGCACAATTACAACCCCTATAAAAAGCCCGGCTCCCAGTTAGCTAGCACACTTGCCAGCAGTGTCAGCGAGCAAGCACTTGACTTCTTCCTCTGGTGAAGTGGGTAAGTCCCGTTCTGGGGGATGGCGTTCTTCTATTTGATTCTTCACTTTCTAGCTGTGGTAGTACATGTTGGGGGAATGAAGGTAGTTCCTATGCTCCTGAGGGATCTCCGTCTTCCAGTGTTGGCAAAATCTCATCTCCTCCTTCCCCTTCTCTTTTAGACGAGGTCTCACTGTTTAGCCCTGCCTAGCCTAGACTATGTAGAGTAGGCTGGTCTCGAACTCACAGAAAGTAGCCTACCTCTGCCTCTGGGGAGCCAGCATGCTTGGCTTGTCCCATCTTTTTATGGTTAGATCCATCACTTGAATAGCAGTAGTTCTCTCAAGACTCTGAACCCAATACTTAGGCACATCAAAAACTATCATGTGTGCCTCTTATGAGGCTCACCTTTCTGAAAAACTATCATCCCTAGAGTATGCAAATCCCCTGATCTCTTTTATGACACTGGGATCTTCATACCGTTCACATCTGAGTTGGTATGTGAGGTGTTGGAGACAGATGATGACAAAGAATTCAGCCAAGTGACCTACTATGCAGTCAGCCAGCAAAGCCATCCGAGTGTTCTTTTAATACCAGTGTGTCTGTGGACAAGGTTTTGCTGTGGCCGTGTGTTTTGCTTTGTCTTGGCAATACTGAAAATTAAACACATTATTTTACACATACTAACACCCTCTCTACTATTGAGCTACATTCCCAGAGTCCCCCTCCCACTTACAATACCAACATTGAAATGATTTATTTGCATTTAACCAATGCCAGCCTTAAGACCAATATTATTCAAAGTTCTCCAGGTTTGTTTGACACATTGACTCTGATTCATCAATCAGGATCTCTCAAATAAACTTCAGTAACAGAAGATATGAATACCCATAGTACATCTAAGTTGATGCAGGCAACATGCATTCTGCTTTTCTGCTTTGTTGTATCTAAACGTTACAATGTTTTATTTTGATGAGGAGGCACTCTGTAATCTTAGAATTGATGACATGAAGTAGTCTCCTATGGGCTACACATTTAAGGAATAATTCACATCTTCTTTTCACTGTTCTATTTGTTGCCAGGTTTTTGCAGACACAATTGTCTATACATATTTACTTTTAATGATGCTCAAGCCCTTCTTTCACATGCTCCTTGGCTTTTACCTACCCTTTTTGCTCAGCTTTAGGGGTTGCTATGAGTAGCAGCATATAGAATTTAGATTCTTACCCTCATCTCTTCATTATCTGCTCTGAAATATGTCAAAACAAAAAAAAAGGGGGAGGAGGATGTGGATAGTTCACACTGATGGACAATGAAAAGTTGACTGTAATATGCTTTGAAGATGATTTCCTTGGCTTAGAATTTTTCAATGTTTCTCTTCCTCCTTTAGAATACAATATTGAGGGGTAAAATGCAAATTGCTATCTCAACCACTAGTGGAAAGACTAGAGAGCTGTCTAAATCAGTGTGAGTGAAGTCTCCCTAAATTCAGAAACAGAGGCTTGAATCCGAATCCTATCTTACTGTTCAAGGTTTACTTGAATTTGAAGGAAAGAAAACATGTCTCCACTTCTAAGAAGCGTTATTGACATCGCTGAAGTTTTCGATCATTATGCCACACATAGCTGTGAAGGAGCATCACTGAGCAAGAAAGACCTGAAGAACCTCCTGGAAAGGGAACTTGGAGATGTCCTCCAGGTAAGACCTGACCGGAAAAAGAACTCTATGGATGTGGGGCTATCACTTTTCTTCCCAAGAAAGACCAGAGCAAAGAATATTGATTAAAATGGATTTTTCAACATGACAGGTCTACATTACATCATCATTAATTTTAAAGCCTGAGGTATTTAAATTGGTGTTGTAATCTGAGTACTAAAGAAGTTAATAGCATGTATTTAATAGACTTGATGATATTGTTAATGGGAATGAAGTGTTAATTAATAGGGCATTACCACTAATGGTGCCTAATCAAGTTAATAGACTTGAAGGAACTTTTCTGTTCCCAACTTTCAGTAACTGAAACCTGCCTATTTCTCGACTAAAATGGTGTCGCTGTAAATATCTTAGTTCTTCAAACACGGAATAAAAATTAAATCAGGAGTATTGGCTTTTTCAAACAAAAATGTCCTTTGGAAATCTTCATAAATTTTATTTTATTGATCACAAAGGACAAATTCATTTTATTCAGCTATCTAGAAAGAATTTGTTTTGATCAGCAAACAATTACAAAAATTTCCAACGGTGTATGCTTTGACATGAGTTGTCCACATATCGTATGAGAAAGCAAGACGACATACACTAAGAATTTTCTAATTACACTAAGTATCTCCTGATCTCAGCACAACATAAATAAGTGTGAGAGTGAAAGCTTACTACGTGCAAATAATTAATTATAAAACCTTTGCTTTAATCTTTCATAGAGACCACATGACCCTGAGACGGTAGATGTGATCCTAGAACTTCTGGATCGGGACTCCAACGGGCGTGTTGATTTCAACGAATTCCTCCTGTTCCTTTTCAAGCTTGCTCAAGCTTGCTATTCGGCTATCAATCAGGCCATAGGGCTAGATGAGAAGAGGAGCCTGTCACAAGATCGCAGGCAAGAAGACCAAAGGAGATTCGAGCCCCGGGACGTACAACGGGACGAAGAACCCGGGCGCCGAAGCTGGCAGAAAAGACGTGAGCAGGAGGAGCGCGCTGAGGAGCAGAGCAGGAGGCAGGAGAGACTGGAGGAGCGACAGCAGAGGAGAGAACTGCAGGAACTGGAGGAGCGCCTAGCGGAGAAAGAGCCACTAAGCTGGAGCCAGGGTCCTGATGCTGAAGAGTTTTCCGAGGAAGAGGAACAGCAAAGGCAAGAACTCAAGAGCAGGGAGCAGAGGGAAGAGAGACGGCTGCAGCAGCTGCGCGACCCCGAGCTGAGGCGTCAGCAGGAGTTGGTGGCTGAGGAGGACGAGGAGCAGACGCCACTCCGGGAGTCCCAGACTCTCACCCGGAGGTTGCAGAGGCAGCTCGAAAGCGAGGCCGAAGCCCGTCAGAACAAAGTCTACGCCAGGCCACGCAGACAGGAGCAGGAAGAGCGTCAGCTCCGGGAGCAGGAGCAACGGTCCCGGGAGCTCCAAAGGCAGCGCGCCCAGGAAGAGGAGGAACGCCTGGAGCAGCAGCAGCAGCAGAGGTCGCAGAGGCGACAGGCGGAGGAGCAGCGCTTCCGGGAGGAGGAGCAGCAGCGAGCAGAGCTCCAGGACAGCCTCCTAGAGGAACGCCAGAGGCGTCGTCAGGCCGAGCGCAGGCAACTGCAGGAAGAAAGCCAGAGGCGCCGCACGCTGTACTCCAAACCCAGCGCCAGGCAGCAGAGAGAGGAAGTGCTGCGGGAGGAGCGGCTGCTGCAAGAAGAGGCTCAGCAGCGCCGGCAACGGGACAGGAAATACCGCCAGGAGGAGGAGCAGCTGCGGCAGGAGGAGGAGCAGCTGCGGCGAGAGGAAGAGCAGCTGCAGCGGGAGGAAGAAAGGCTGCAGAAGGAAAGGAGGCGCCTGCAGCAGGAGAGGCAGTATCACAAGGAGAACGACGTGCAGCGCGAGGAAGAGCAGCTGCAACTGGAGGAAGAGCGGCTGCAGCAGCAGGAAGAACTGCTGAGGAAGGAAAGGAGGCGCCTGCAGCAGGAGAGGCAGGATCGCAAGGAGAACTACTTGCAGCGCGAAGAAGAGCAGCTGCAGCGGGACGAAGAGCAGCTGCAGCGAGACGAAGAGCAGTTGCATAGGGAAAGGAGGCGCCTGCAGCAAGAGAGGCAGTATCAAGAGGAGGACCTGCAGCAGGAGGAAGAGCGGCTGCAGCAGGAGGAAGGGCGGCTACGGAGAGAAAGGAGGCGCCTGCAGCAGGAGAGGCAGTATCAAGAGGAGGACCTGCAGAGGCTGCGGGACGAAGGTCAGCGTAGGGATCTGAAGTGGCAGTGGCTACCAGAGAAAGAAACTGAAGCTCGTGGCCGCAGGCTCTTCTCCAAACGCAGGGAGGATGGAGAACAGATCCGGCAGCTGGAGGATTCTCTGGAGCATGAGAGACGCTCACGTCAGGATCGGCGGCCTCTGCAAGACGAAGCAGAAGAGAAGCGAGAGCTGGAGCAGGAGAGGCGGCGGCGACAGCGACAGCAGCGTGACCGGCAGTTCCAAGAGGAAGAGCAGCTGCAGCGAGAGCGCCAACGGGAAGCCGCACGACGAGGCGAGAGGCTCCGGGAGGAAGAGCAGCTCCTGAGAGACTCGAGGAGACGGCCACAGGAGAGGGACGGAAAGTTCCTTGAGGAGGAAAGGCAACTGCGGAAGGAGCGGGAAGAACTGAGGCAAAGACGAGAAGAAAGACAGTTCCAGGAGGAGGAGCTGCGCCGCCAAGAACTTAGGCAGGAGCGCGACAGAAAATCCCGTGAGGAACAAGAGCGCCGCCAGCAGCGGCGTGAAGAGGAGCAGCTCCGGGAGGAAGAGCAGCTCCGTCAGCAAAGAGACAGGAAACTCCGCCGGGAAGAAGAGCGCCTGCAGGAGCTCGAGGAAGAGCAGCTGAGACGCCAGGAACGAGACAGGAAACTCCGCAGGGAAGAAGAGCGCCTGCAAGAGCTCGAGGAAGAGCAGCTGAGACGCCAGGAACGAGACAGGAAACTCCGCAGGGAAGAAGAGCGCCTGCAGGAGCTCGAGGAAGAGCAGCTGAGACGCCAGGAACGAGACAGGAAACTCCGCCGAGATCAAGAGCGCCGTCAGGAGCTTGAGGAAGAGCAGCTGAGGCGACCTGAGCGTGAGGACAGAAGATTCCGCCAGGAACAAGAGCGCCGCCAGCAGCGGCGTGAGGAGGAGCAGCTCCGGGAGGAAGAGCAGCTCCGTCAGCAACGAGACAGGAAACTCCGCAGGGAAGAAGAGCGCCTGCAGGAGCTCGAGGAAGAGCAGCTCAGGCGCCAGGAATCCGACAGAAGATCCCGCCAGGAACAACAGCTTCGCCAGGAGCGCCGTGAGGAAGAGCAGCTGAGGCGCCAGGAACGTGACAGGAAACTCCGCCGGGAAGAAGAGCGCCTGCAGGAGCTCGAAGAAGAGCAGCTGAGACGCCAGGAGCGAGACAGGAAACTCCGCCGGGATCAAGAGCGCCGTCAGGAGCTCGAGGAAGAGCAGTTGCAGGACAGGAAGTTCCCCCGGGAACAAGAGCTCAGGCGTGACAGAAAACTCCGCAGGGAAGAAGAGCTCCGCCAGGAACTACAGGAAGAGCAGCTGCGAGACCGAAAGCTGAGGGTGGAGGAGCAGCTTCGCAGGGAGCGCGAGGCAGAGCGGCAGCGCGTTCAGGAACGTGACAGAAAATTCCGCCGGGAACAAGAATTCCGCCAGGAACTAGAGGATGAGCAGCCTAGGGATAGAAAGTTCCGCAGGGAACAAGAGCTCACACGCGACAGAAAACTCCGTGAGGAAGAAGAGCGCCTGCAGGAACTGGAAGAAGAGCAGCTGAGACGCCAGGAACGTGACAGGAAAGTCCGCCGGGAAGAAGAGCGCCTGCAGGAACTGGAGGAAGAGCAGCTGAGACGCCAGGAACGAGACAGGAAACTCCGCCGGGAAGAAGAGCGCCTGCAGGAGCTCGAGGAAGAGCAGCTGAGGCGCCAGGAACGTGACAGGAAACTCCGCCGGGAAGAAGAGCGCCTGCAGGAGCTCGAGGAAGAGCAGCTGAGACGCCAGGAGCGAGACAGGAAACTCCGCCGGGATCAAGAGCGCCGTCAGGAGCTCGAGGAAGAGCAGTTGCAGGACAGGAAGTTCCCCCGGGAACAAGAGCTCAGGCGTGACAGGAAATTTCGCCGGGAAGAAGAGCGCCTGCAGGAACTGGAGGAAGAGCAGCTGAGGCGACAGGAGCGTGACAGGAAACTCCGCAGGGAAGAGGAGCGCCTGCAGGAACTGGAGGAAGAACAGCTACAAGACCGAAAGCTGAGGGTGGAGGAGCAGCTTCGCAGGGAGCGCGAGGCAGAGCGGCAGCGCGGACAGGAACGTGACAGAAAGTTCCGCCGGGAAGAAGAGCTCAGGCGCGACAGAAAACTCCGTGAGGAAGAAGAGCTCCGCCAGGAACTCCAGGAAGAGCAGCTGAGACGCCAGGAACGTGACAGGAAATTCCGTGAGGAAGAAGAGCACCGTCAGGAGCGCGACCAGAGATTCCGCGGGGAACCAGAGCTCCGGAATGAAAGGGAGGGGCATCAGCGGCGCCGCCAGGAACTCGAGGAAGAACAGCTTCGCTTTGAGGAACAGCAGCTTCGCCACCAGGAACGCGAGCAACAGCTTCGCCAAGAGCGCGACAGGGAATTCCGGGAGGAGAAGCAGCAGCGCCAGGAACGTGAAGAACTGCAGTTGAGGAGGCAGAAACGAGATGGGCAGTACCAGGCTGAGAATCAGTTTGCCAGGGATACGATTCGTAGTCGTCAGGAACAAGAACGTCGTCAGGAAGAGGAACGAAGACGTCGCCAAGAGCGGGAGAGAAAATTTCAAGAGGAGCGGATCCGTAGGCAGGAGGAGCAGAGGCGCCGCCAAGCCTTGGAGACTGGCACGCGCCAGTTTGCCAACGTCCCCGTGCGTTCCAGCCCTCTCTATGAGTACATCCAAGAGCAGAGGTCTCAATACCGCCCTTAAAGGATGCTGCTAGCGTCCTGGCACCAGCCAAAGAAATGTTTCTTTTTCAAGCAAAAGAAAATGAGAAACACTGGGTATCAAATGATAACTCATGTGTTTCTGGTTGTGGGAAAACTCTCTGATCTTAGAATGTCTTTTCCAGAATCTTAAACTATACCCATTTCATTTCTTTCTGTTCCTGTCTCTTATTCTGTCTGGGGTAGTTCTTTATTGCAAGATGTCTTTGTTATTTAGTGCAGATGTGGTGCGCACTTTTCAAAAGAAGTCATTTAATTTTTTAAAGGAATTTTGTTTGAGGAGCACATTGATTTATTGCCTTCATAGCTAACAAGAATAATGTAACAATTTGATATTCAAAAATAGTTGAGCCTCTATTTTTAGTGGTAGATCATGTTGGGAACCCTCATTTTTATAAGTTTAAGTTGATATTTTCTTCGACCTAAATATCATTTGTCTTTACCTCCAAACAGTTTTGTCGATCTTTTTCTTGCATAATTTGACAACCCTCAAATAATGCAGGGGGGTGATTTATGTGAAAAATATTATGTGAAATCAGTTCATAACTGAAAGAAATCTCTCTTAAGAGAAAGACTTGCACAGGAAATTATTTTTTGGCATTATATTTTTATACTTAGCACCACTTAAAATTTCATGAAGCAAAAGCAAGGTGTTTCTCAAACAACTCCAATTTAAAACTGCTGTGATTTGTAGAGTTCTGTTCCACTTCCCCAAGTTTTGTTGGGTTTGAGAATATTACTACTTTTGTACATGTTGGTTTAGAGGGAACCTACTCAAGACCCTGTAAACATCTTTCTTGTTTGGGTCCAGCAAGAGTTCACAAGGTGATGGAAGAAGGAAAGGGGAAGATGTATGAACAGAGGGCAAATTTATAGAAGTCTCTTGACTAGACTTATCAGCCCACAGTCATTTGAGGCTTTATACTACCTTAAAGACATTCTTGTTGAAACAATTGGTCTGTTAAAAAAATCAATAAATGTTTGGCAAATAATTATCCTTGTCTGTTTTAATTATGTGCCTACCATACTGCATGTCTAATCTGGAAATGCATATATTTCTAATCACATGGTATTTTTACTATCAGCTATGTCCAAATATGAAAAAAAAGGTGGAGAGAATCTTCAATTTTTCCCAAATAAGGAGACTCCTATATTATTTAAGAGTAAGACTTGGACAAAAAATATTAGAATTTGGCATTATATTTTATGCTTAGCACCACTGAAAGTCTTACAAAGCAGAAGTAAGGTGTTTCTCAAACACCTCCAATTTAAAACTGCTGTCATATGTAGAGTTCTGCTCCATTGCCCCAAGTTTTGTTGGGTTTGAGAATATTACTACTTTACATGTTGGTTTAGAAAGAACCTACTCAAAATCCTGTAAACACCTGCCTTCCCTGAGTGTTGCACGAAGTTAAGGGGACCCTTCATGCATTTCCAATACGACATAGACTCTCCAAGAGTTTTCTTTTTGATGCTGCCTCTTTCCATACCCCTTCTTGCAGTGACTCACACTGCTCACAACAAATATGGCACTTCCAGTGTCTGTTACTATTTCCCTCTAAAGTGGAGCAGCTACTTTGTGTCTAAGCCAGTGATGGAACATTGCCTAAAATTTCTGAGCTCTGTAGACCCAATTAGTGACCCAGGGATTTGAGCAACATAGTTCAGGAGGTGCCTGAATCAGAAAATGCTAAATAGTAATTAATACAAATGTCACATTTCCATCTCACAATGCAGACACCCCTGTGCTACCTGCTGAACTGTATTATTTAGTTGAGTTACTAGGGAAAAATTCTAAAGGACCTTATCAAGAATATCACAGCCAGGCATCCGGTGGTGCCTGCCTTTAATCCCAGCACTCAGGAGTCAAAGGCATGAGGATATCTGAGTTCGAGGCCAGACTGGTCTACAGAGTAAGTTCCAGGACGGACAGCTAGGGATACACAAAGAAAGCCTATCTTAGTTTTAAAAAGAAAGAAATAAAGAAAAGGAAAAAGAATATCACTCTTTTTAATTGCGAGACTCTTGGAAATTGCCCTAAAGCTATAGTTAACACATCAGCCAATGCTAAAAGCTAAGGAAGCTAAGCCTGTGGCTCCTGAGTATCATCTGGTTGAATAAGGAGGCCCTTGACTGTAAGGAGTACAGACTCTCACACTTTCACACAACTGGAAGATGTTCATCAGAAACAAAGATAAAGGAAATCCTTTTGCTCTTTCAAACTATTTCTAACTACATTTTCCTCACATATATTTTTTCTTCTTAAGTTCTTTGCAGAAGCCCGAGAAGAAATTCATCAATTTTGCTAGGATCCTCATGAAGATTCCTCTTATAAATCCCCAGGTTCAGAATATGACATTCATCAGTCAAGCTACAGTTCAACAGAGATTGAAGTCATTCAGACCCCCTACAGCATTTTACAAATGAGGAAAACTGGTTTTCACAGAAGAAACTATTGTTTTGTCAATTATTATTGATGTTCTTTTTTGACAAGTGTGTTGGTAAAGCCCCACTCCCTAGCTACTCTTAGCAAAGTAGCAGGCAAACTTGGAGGCCCATCATCTTGTCACAGCACAGTGCTGTACCTGTCTGGGCAGGACCTTGATGTTATTGGGCAGTTGCATGCTTAACTTCAAACTAGAAGTTCTAGTAACGTTGTTTCAACTGCTACTGGGAAATAGGATGGAGAATTGTTGTGTGACAGACTTTTCCTGGGGTGGCACAATTCATCAATTCATCCCAGAACTGGAACAGATCAAAGAAAGAGTTGCACCAATGTCAAACTTGATGAGCCAGTGGGTTTTTAGGAGGTTACTAACAGGGATCTGGGTGAGAAGTAGCTTAGTAGAAGAAGAGGTGACCCAAAAGCAGCTACACCACTAAGAATCCTTTCCCTGACATGTGAAAAGACTCACCAAAGCCACGACTCTGGGGCTCTCAACATAGCTAGCAGGCAGACTCATGGGCAGTCCAACAATGTCTTCTCTCTGCAGTTCTGCTGGCCAGTCTCTTTCCCAACAAGTGCTTACTTCTTTTTATAGTACTGGGGAGAATATGGTTCCTTTTATACTACTGCTCCTCAAGAGTCTTCCAAGTTTCTGTTTTTCAAGAGTAGTGGAGAGCATTTTTTTCTTTTAAACCTTCTGAGATTCATAAGCCTCTTGTTCCTTCCTGGAGGAAAAGCTTCAACTCAGAGGAAAATGCCAAACAAGAGTTTAATATAATGTGATAAAAAGTGGTTCTTCACCTCTCTCTCTGTCTGTCTCTGTCTCTCTCTCTCTCTCTCTCTCTCTCTCTCTCTCTCTCCTCTCTCTCTGTCTCTCTCTGTGTCTCTCTCTCCTCTCTCTCTGTCTCTCTCCTCTCTCTGTCTCTCTCTGTCTCTGTCTCTCTCTCTCTCTCACACACACACAGGGGTTTATATGTTGAATCATAAACATTCAGTTACTTGGGATATGCCCTTATTTGGAGATGCAATATTTAAAGAAGTAATTAAAATGAGGATATTAGTTTGGGTTCTAATCTGATGGGACTGCTATCCTCACAGTACAAATACTTGAACACAGGCACAAACAGTAGTAGAGACATATTAAAACACAAAAAGGTCATCAAGGGTGAAGGTATGAATAGACTCCTTCCTTATAACCCTCAGTAGTCATCGGGCTGACATCTGGGTCTTGGTCTTCAAGCGTTATGGACTCAGAAAAAATAAATTTATTTAAGTCTCTGTGGTACTTCATTATGACAGTCCTGGACATGAATACATTATATAAGGTAGAGTTGTGATCCATTGCTAGGACAGCTCCTGTATTATCATCTTTATTCTTAGTAATTGTGCAAACAGGTCTTGCGCGGTTGCTTTATTTTTTGTTGCATAATTATCAGATTCTACCTAGCAGGCTAAAGTCTTACAACGTTCAAATAATGCAGGGGAGAAACATCTGCAGAAAAAAAAATCCCTATGATGCAAGTCCAGAACTGAAAGAAAGAGTGAGATTTAGCTGGAAAATTAGATTTTGGCATTATATTTTTATACATAGCACTAGTTAAAATATCACAAAGCAAAAAAAGGTGTTTCTCAAGCTTCAGAACTCAGAGGTTCTATGATACTATGAGAATAATCCTGTAAGAAAATAAGAATCAAAGCCGGGCGATGGTGGCGCATGCCTTTAATCCCAGCACTTGGGAGGCAGAGGCAGGCGGATCTCTGTGAGTTTGAGACCAGCCTGGTCTACAGAGCTAGTTCCAGGACAGGCTCCAAAGCCACAGAGAAACCCTGTCTCGAAAAACCAAAAAAAAAATTAAAAAAAAATAAGAATCAAGGGTTCATTCATTCACCATTGAGTCAGTAAATATTTATTGAGCTCATAATCTGTGCAAAACACTGTTCCATGAGATATACATGCAGGGATGAAGTAACAGCGCTGGGCTCTTCCTTCACTTCACTATCTTGAGGTCTTGTGTAAGCACATTGGGCTTTCTGGGTTTCCATTGATTTATATTCCATCAACATTATCCCCAGAATTGAAAAAATTACATTCTATTGAGAGGCAGGGGCAGAAGAATCGGAAGCCTGAGGCCAGCTGAGCTACATAATGAGATCCGGGTTGACTTAATCTACAGTCTCAAAAAGAATTCTTTTTAACTGGAGCACTGGACATGTTCCATTGGGTCTCTCAAAGCGACCCACACACAGCTCCTAGGGTTACCTAACAGAAAACAAAAAAAAGACGTAATTGACTGTAGTGGTCCTGAGAATCTATTTCAGCTTCAAAGATTTTATTTCCTCAGCCGAACATCCCTGAATTCCCCGGTTTGTCTCCCCAGAACATCCCAGAGCTCCTTCTTATCACCCAGGTTTATTCATTAAGAGAACATTTAAAACTGACTTCATTTCCTTTAATCCTCTTACTGTCAAAGATGATGACCCTGCTGCTTTACAGCCTCACTATGTGCATTTGATCATGCTCATTCTTTTCTAAGCAGAAAACTTAGTCCTCAAATTTATTCCATTCAAACAAAACTTCGACAGCCATCAGCATTCACCATCAGGCGTGTCTTGCTTCATCTACAGTAATTACACGTGGCTAATATGTGCATTCAGTCATGATAATTGTGAGATATTCTTTCAGCAAGTGTACTGGACCTATAATCTTCTGGAGATGATAATCTATGTAATGTATAATGAGCACATTGCCTTGCTGGTAAAGACCTGAGAGTCACATGCAGTAATCTAAAACATGTTCAAAAGATTCCAAGCATTTGTCATTTTTGGAACCCTGAGGCTGTTGATGGCAAGCACTCAAATTACAAAACCTTATAGAATTTAATTTTTATTATTTCTTTTTAAGAAATGTGCCACATTTTCAGCAAGATAAAATATAGGTCTTGAGTTTTTAACTTAATGACTGGCTGCTTCAATTCAGTATCCATCACCTTCTCAACCTTGGATCTCACAGTATCTTTGGGGCCAACTATATGCTCAAACTTAATTCTTAGGACAGCATAGATTGTCCTTGCTTCACAGACTTATAGTAGAATTATGGTACCTACAAGGTATGCCTCCTCTCCTCCTGTATCCAAGGGAAATCTCTAGTCAATTCATGATCTAAATTGAAATTTAACTGTTAGGAATTTTCTTAATGCAAGCTCTCTGCCAATGCAAAAAATCCCAATCAAGCCAAATCACAACAAGCCAAACTAAAAAAAATAACTCGGGAGGCAGAGGCAGGCGGATCTCTGTGAGTTCGAGACCAGCCTGGTCTACAGAGCTAGTTCCAGGACAGGCTCCAAAACCACAGAGAAACCCTGTCTCGAAAAACCAAAAAAAAAAACAAAAAATTCAGGTTTAATGGGATTCCTGCCCACTCGGGTGGCCCCAAGGGGGAATTGGGAAGCCACGAATGTGACCAC